AAGTGATTATTACGTTTTGAATATGGATATTTTTCTTACATTTGTTCACCCCCCCGGAGCCGTGTGAGACACTTTTTTTTTTTGTGGAAGGGTGCTTTTTATTTCACGTCTTTTGGACCGAAGCAATGCAACAATAGAGCTTGAAAGATCAAAGACAATTTTCAATATAACTCTGACTGGATTCGTCTGAAAGAAGAAAGTCATATACACCTAGGATGCATCGGGGGTGAGTAAAACACAGCCTAATTTTTATTTTGGGGTGAACTAACCCTTTAAGGCAGCAGGTTTAGTGTTTTTTTTTTTTTTGGCGTCTCCCTGTGGTCCTGTTTGGTATCGCAGCTTAACAGGTGCTTATATTAAAAATGCTCTAAATAGTTTTTTCTTTTTCTTTCGACATTATATAAATACATTATTTGATATTGATAAATGTATTTATTTTGGGGTGGGGGGAGGGAGACTACTTTTTTTCCACTTCAAGCACTGCTAATAAGTTACCTAGATTATACACTGCAATTTCTCACACCAACCAGTGTTTGAATGATCCTTTTTAGTTGTTCAAGCCTGAAGATGAGTTTCTAAAGGAGTTTTGGGTGGATTTCAACATTGGAACATCAACCATTAGTTTCTTTGTAAATGATCCAAAGGTGTGTCCAAAATATATTTTAGTGCACATATACATTTTTTTTTATTTATTTTTTTAATCGGTAGTGTAACTAAACTGAGCTTATATTTGTGGTAGAACACACTGTGGGAGTTGATTCACCTGCCTAAAGATGTTGTCAGCGTGTATGATCTTCAAGGTGGGATTAATCGTAAAAGGCCCTGACCACTAGCTTTTCAGTTCATAATAAAATGTTTCTAACAAGGCTTTCCTTGTTAGTATTAAAACTAAACACAAACCTGAAGTAGACTAAATCTTTTTTGGAATTGCTTTTAAATCCCACAGATCATTAATGTTATTTCTTCAAATGTCTATTTCTTATTGCTTTAGAGTGTGATGATCAGAAGATATTGGACGTTCACATGAGTACCCCACTCTCTCATGGAGAGATCACTGGCAAAATTGTCAAAATCATCTTTAGTGCAGAGCACAACATCCAAACAGCCCTGACAAGAGTGTTTCCAGATAAACCACGGTCTTCCTCGGTCTCAAAGGTGTTGGCATGTGCTGTTTTCGGTTTTTAAAGAGTCATTGTCAAATATGTAAATATACCTCACATACATACCAGTGGCTATAAATTACATGTCCTTTTTTATTACTAGGAAGCTCTGCAATTAGGGGATTCCTCTACCAAGATAGAAGGTATGCATCTTACCCGCTCTACAGATATGTTTTGTTAAAGTTAATTTGCAGTACAGTACATTGTTCCAGATTTATCAGTGTGAAATGTCATCTTATACAGGAACCCAGCATGAACAAACATCAGTGCCGCAGACATTTGCCAGGCATGTTTGCCTAACTCTGTAAAATTTCTGTAAATCTCAGTGTTTACATTGAGAGAGCACAAGGCATCTTGATTTCTGCATTTGATTTGATAATTCTCTCATGGAATTTTTTTTTTTTCTTCCATAGTCCATCTTCTGCAGAAACCAAAGTCATCCATCAGGTAACTAGATAATCCAGATAGCAAATTAAAAAGGTTGTATGGGCACCCATTTTCCAGTCATTTTTCAGCATTCCCCTTTGAGTGGACCAAGCAGATATTCAAGATCAAAGTCATCAAAGTAAGACTATTTATTGCTGTACATGTACTCTCTGATGGAAAACTCAGTGGTTTTATGATTTTCTTTCTTTGGTGAGTGAAGAGTCAAAGGAGCCCCAGGCCAAGACATCTTTCAATTTAAGGATCATTCAGATTCTGAGGTATGCTTGTGTGTGTGTGTGTGTAAGAAAGAATGTACTTGGTTTTTCCTAAATTATGGGAATCAAATGTCCCCACAAGGATAGTAATAACAGTCATTCTTGACCTTGTTGGGGACATTTGTTTTGGTCCCTATGAGAAAACAAGCTTATAAATAATTATAAGGAGAATCTGAAGGACCCACCCCTCGACCCCTGGAATAATTTTAAACGCGGAAAGTAATCTAAACCGAACGCGGTTTCAACCGAGGGACTCCCCCCTCGGATCTGATTTGTCACTCCAGATTCAATTTGACCCCCCCAAAACGTGTCTATTTTAATCGTTCGATGCGGACCATCACTGGTGTATTTAGAACAATCACTGCTAAATTCAACCACACAATTTGTTTTAGGTTTCAGACGTTTACATTTAATTATAGCAAAAAAATGCATTTGTTAAATACACACTGATGTTTGTGAGTTTAAATACACTGGTGTCTAAGGAAAGCGACAATAATCCTTTCAATTAAAATCTGACAATGGTTTTTTATTCATATTCGTACAGGTTGTGTAGTTAACTATAAAGTTCATGCTATTCTTCTCTTAGTTTAACGGTGACTGACTTTTACGTAATTCTGGAAAAATATGTGAATTTACGTGATGGTAAACCAGGGGTGTCAAACTCAATTCTTGGAGGGCCGCAGCCTAGAGAGTTTAGTTCCAACACGTATATAGTTTTCAAATAAGCCTGATGGATTTGATTAGCTGGATCAGGTGTGTTTAATTAGGGTTGAATCGAAACTCTGCAGGGCTCTGGCCCCCAGCTCTGAATGGAGTTTCTTTTCACATCTTCTTGCACTTGAACGGACAAATACGAAAGTATATTAGACCCATGAATTGTGTTTAAAGTGACCGTGACTAATTTAAAACATGCTGTTGGTATCCTTAATATTTGTTTGTTTAAGAATATGCTTCGTTATTTTACATTTGATTATTCAATTTCTGTACTTGAACCAGTGGCAGCTCGTGGGTTTTAAAATAGAGGCACACTAATTGTATTGGTCTGGGGATCCCTGCCTATTATTACTATTATGTGCTTAACCACTTTAAAATGGCTTTTTGGTTGCTTTTAGTCAGAAAACGTAAAGAAAACGACACGCATACAGCAAGATAATAATGTCACTTACCTGGCCTATCACTTGAAGCAAACATCCGTCCCTTCTTAAAAGTCTGTGTTAAAAGAGCCGACTGCTATAACGTTAGCCTAGGCGTGTTCTCAATTTATTTTTAATTTGTGTATATATACTGTTTGAATGACAGCTTGGTAAATCTGTTGGCAATCAAATATTCAATATCGTTACTCATAAGTACTTGGTACATTATCAGCCGCTGAAGCGATGGTGATTGGCTCATTTGTTTTTTACCAACGGAGGCACGAGAGCTCCGCTCCCCCCCCCTCTCTATCACCTAGCAGTTGTAATTACATCAACAAATTCGGCACATTCGTGATAGAAAAGCGGCACTTTCCAACTTCAGTAACATGTTATGGTATTACAGCTGTGAAACTACAAACAAAAAAAATACACATTCTGAGACATGAATTGAAATGAATTGTGGATTTTATTAACATTAAATCGGCCTCCTCCCATTTTCACCTCAAACTTTTGGGGAAGCTGTGCCTCCGCTGCCTCCCCCGACGATCCGCCACTGACTTAAACACCTACATATCTAAAAACCCAAACCATCTTTCATTTGTATCTCTGTTCTGTTTGCTTATTTGTGCGATTGCTTGTAATTGGTTCTTATTTACTACTGTTCACTTGTCTTTAATAGTATTTGAACTTTGTTAGGCTAGTAGTTTTTGCTTTGGTATTGGAATTGAGAATTGTAAAATTTAACAGGTGTTTTGGTGTCATAAGCATATTTATTATTGGAATACAAGGGTATAACATGGGTCAAAACAATTATTTTATTTATTTATTTTTATTTATTTTTATTTTATTTTATTTTTTTATTTTTTTATCCCAGTGAAATATGTATATAGTTAACTGAAACTAAAATTAAAACAAACAAAAAAATGTAAGTTACATTACTTGAAATAAAATATTTCCATGCTACTTGAAATAATATAAATGTTAACGAATAAATTTCTATTTCTTAAGCATCAAAAGAAAAAAGAAAACCTGTTGATCTGGAAGAACGGTGCCCAAATTTCTGTCTTGCATACCCTGTCTTGTCTGGAATGTTAATGCTTTATTAAACATTTATTTGTTAATTCGGTAGTGTTAATTTCAAAATCCCCAATTTTTACATTGTGCCAAAGCAGGGGTGTAGCAACTCATAATGTAATAACTGCACATAATGTAATAAGTATTACATTATTATTGTAATTAAATGTTCATAATGTAATAATTCTCAAAACGTAATAAAATATTGAGCTCATAATGTAATAACAATTATTACATTATTGGAAATTTATTACAATATAAACACCAAAAATATTGTCATGTTGTCACAATTGTAATAGGCTTTTTAAACATAAAAACATTGGTTTAAACTACCTATGAAATGCACCAGATTTAAATATTCATGCATTTATTATTATTATTATTATCATCATCATCATGGTACAGTACTTATTTACTTATGTACACTTATATATACATAAGACAAAGACACTTAAGATTTAGTTAAGTGTGTGTGTATATATATATATATATTTATATTGTTGGAAATATTACTTTTTAGAATTAATTTGTACATGAATGAATGAAGCAAAGCAAATATGTTCACGTCTGAGATTCATTTTAGCATTTATAGAATAACTAAACTATAGCTGAACTTTAGTGAGGGGACATTGTTCCTCTTAGCATCATGAAAAAACCCTTTTATTAAAAATATGAATGCATTACCGATAGCCTAGAATATGTGCAAAGAGTGCTCCCTTTAGAATTCCAAATGCACTGAGCCTGTCACTCATCTCCGTTCACCGGTTCAACAGACATGTCTGTAATTGGCTACAATGCGCAATGCTGCAAACTTTGTAAATAGAAACATCTGATGCGCTCCAGAGCGGAAATGCAAATATGCACAGAAGAGTTTGCCAAATATGTTATTATTACAGTTTCAACTAAGGGTGCTCTTATTGAGCTCAAGATTTTATTACGTTTTGAGAAAATTATTACATGTAATAAAATGCTCATAATGTAATACTTATTACATTATGTGCAGTTTTTACATTATGTGACTTAGATGATGTTCTTACTTTGGCCATGCATTAAATACACGTCCTTTGAAAGAGCACAGTTTGCTCTTTATTATTAATACGAATTTCTCTGGTAACTTCCGTGGTATGATGACAATGACAGTGATCAAATATATCCTACATCAAATATATTTTAATTGTTTGTTCAAAATTATTGCTAGGAACAATTCAGTTGCACCCCTATAAAATTTTACGTCCTTGAATTTGGGAACAAATTTGGGAAAAATAATAAAAGTTTCCAAAGTCTAATGAAGTCTGGGATGGATCGCATTATCTGCCTCAGGCAACAGCAGCACGGAGCACGAGTTAAATGAACATTTCTTTACTTTAATACATAACATGTATAACATGAATGTACATCAGAGGATATGTTGAAAAATAAAGTTACAAAAAATAAAGTTACAATCACGCATTTCTGTGCCTATAAGCTGTTTTATATATATATATATATGTTATAGCACTTGTATATCATTGCTCTTTTGTTGATTTTGATTGCTTCCATTGTCCTAATTTGTTTATTACATTATGTGCAGTTTTTACATTATGTGCAGTTATTCCTCCCAAGAACTTGTACTGGACACTTTTTAGAAAACATTTTGGATGCTAAATGACAAGGAATAATGTCATAGGTCCACTTGTTGAAGAATTGTAGTTTTCTGGCATATGAGTAGTTGTGTATATGGCTGCCCCAGGTGATCCTTGAGGTGTCTCAATGTCAGAGTGACACTTTTGACACAGACCGGTCAGGGAAGTCACATGACAGGAATCCAAAGACTATAACGTTCATGACCGCTTTGTGGAGGTACCAGGTCAGTGGTGTGCAGAGACGCATATCAGGTCCACTGTCCTCTTAAACACTTACAAGTGGCCAATTTAATATGCATTTCTTTACCAATGTTTTGGTGCTCTTGAGTCAGTTTGTTAATTTAATTGTTTAACTTGATCTGGCCAGGCTTAATGTACATAAAGTGCCACTCAAATGACTACTGAAAATGAGAAACTTGTCAAATTTAAAGTTTCAAGGCCAATTTTCTACCCTAAGAGATTGTGCCATTAGTTAACATGTAACCTTGTTACTTTTTAAATTCTCTTTATTTTTTCAGATTTGAAGTTTAAGATCAATTTTAAGATTGGCTTTTCGGTTTAGGTTGCACGTGCCAAGACTGTATTGTTCTGTCAGACGTCGTCATCTAACGGGTAAGTGATATTTCTGTCAGGTATGTCTTGTCTGACAGTGCCCATCTAATTTTAAAATCAGTATGAAATGCAGGAGTGCCACTTTGTACGTCAAAATGTACTTCTGTGCATTTATAGTAGTTTCCCTAAAACGTGCGTTTTTCTTCTTAAGGTCTACAAAATCCCTCCCTGACACTCTGGGTAGAACTCCTGTTAAGGTTAGCTAGAATATGTAAAGGCTCCATTATTTGCAGAAATTGGTCATTTCATTTATATTAGACAGTTGTACATTCAAGAATGCTCTAGTTTGCCTAATCTAGCTTTATAATAAATCTGGCATTGTACACTGAATATTGTCAGCTCTCTGACTAATTACTTACGCCCCTCTATTTTAAGTAGCTTTGGACAAAAGCATCTGCTAAATGCATAAATATAAGTTATGTAAAATGTGGTTGATTACAGAAGAAAATGAAGGTGATGCATTCAGATGAATGGTGTCTCCGCAAGGACACTCCACTTGCTGTCTACAGCAGGAGAAAGCCCAGAGCTAAGGGCAAACTCAAAGGTAGTTACTCATCCTGCAGGACTACATTACTTTATAAATCATTCAGATATGCTGCATCCTTATTTGTGTGCTGTTGTTTTATTTTTTATTTTTTTACTCTTCCATAGTTCTTCCTCTTTCTTCACCCAGCAGTAATGAGGAAGAGTTCTCTAAGGTAGAATGTCACTTTTCAGTAGATTTTTTTTTTTTTAGTGGGGAAAAAATAGCTAAGTTTTATACAGGGTATAAAAATGTGTGTCTTTATGAATTTTTTTCCTAGTATTCAACACCCAAACAAAGACTTCAAGGAAGGGAAAGGGTGGCAAGTGAAGACTGGCAGTCTCAAGTCAAACTAGGGAGATCACTGAACATGGAATCATCCTTATTCAAAGAGTCTACTGCTGATTCAGGTCAGTATGCTTACTTAAGGCTAATCTCAGAAGATGGCTTATACTGATTTAAAACTGACCTGTTGTTGTTTCTTCAAGGTTTTCAAAACAAGACTCTTTCTGAAACCAGTTTACCACTAGAGGAACTTGATAATCTTATTGAAGAGGTACAAGTTGATTTCAATATGGTGTGCTTATAATGCATATTTATATTAAAAATATATACATATTTATTCAGCACAATTTGGATAAAGAAACATCAATTCCCCAGAAAAGTGAAGCAGATGAATCCTCAGGTGAGACACCCCCCACAACCCCGCCTTTTTGACATAGTGTTTACATCAAAGCCTCTAAAAATCTTCAGAAATAAGTAACAATTTCAATGTTTAATTGAGGACCTGTATTTGCTGCACAGAGCTGTATGTGGGTCTGAATGAGGACACGCGGCTGCACAGACACCCGGCATTCCAACCCAGAAGACTTTTCATGTCTAGCCCACTAGAGGATGCTGCAGGTAAATTTGTTCAGTCTTCAACTGCTTGTGATCAGTCACATTCATGCTGAACCCACATAAGCTTGACCCTTGAGCTTTCCAATGCATTTGAGAGTATTGAATCTAGTCAAATTCATAGTTTTGTTTTTCTCCCTTTGGAGTTTAAAAAAAAAAAAATCTTTTTTTCCCCCCTAAAAAAAAATTGTGGAGCTGAAGAGCATGAGCTTGGACAGCCACACAAGATTCAAGTCCATCACAGATTTACAGTTATGCATTTGGCAGATGGTTATACAAAGCAACTTGTACACTGCGGGCCCGGGCCCTCAAGCTTCACTTTCAAGTCTCTGCTCTATGCTTTTTCTGCTTGAGAGAAAGTGACGTGTAGCCAAGTATGGTGTCACATACTCTGAATTTATGCTCTGCATTTAACCCATCCAATTGCACAGACACAACATGTAGTAGCAAGTAGTGAACACACACCGTGAACCAGGGCCATCCTTAGCTGACGCAGGTAGGGCCTGGTGCGAAGTAGAGAACGTATATTAAATAGATTGCCTCAAGCCCAGGGCCCGGTGCGGACGCACCAGTTGCACCCCCATAAGGACAGCCCTGCCATGAACACACACCCAGAGCAGTGGGCAGCCATTTTTGCTGTGGCGCCGGGGGAGCAGTTGGGGGTTCGGTGCATTGCTCAAGGGTCTCACCTCAGTCATGGTTACAAGTCCGACTCTCTAACCATTAGGCCACGACTGCCCCATTTTTCACTTTCACTTTTTTTTCCTTTTCAAGTCTCTGCTCTGCTTTTTCTGCTTGAGAGAAGGATAAAAAGCAGCCATTGTGTGCTGCCGCTCGCTGCCAACAAAGAGTGACATGAATGTATAATGAGAAGAGCCCTCTCTATCTCGCTCTCTGCTCTTGTGTGCCTACCTACTTAACCATATTTTTGTGAAAAACATTGTACTCAGAAGCTTGTGGAGTTTGTGAAAATGCCCCATCCTCATTTGCAAAAATGATATGATATTTAAAAATGTGTGTCTCTGTGTCAGAGCGAGTAACTGAAGCAATTGCGGATGAGGAGTCTGAGGAAGAGTTGGGTGCTGGTGTCAGAGCTGCGTTTAACTCCTTTAAGACTCAGTTGAGAGCACACTTTACTGTGAGTACAAAAGCTAACTGCAGCCATTTTGTTTAGTTACTTTTTTGGCATTAAGATTACCAAAAGTTTAGTTCTATGTTCTATGTCTTTTTATTAAAGAAAAAAAAAAGTCTACGTAATGCTGTTCCGTAGGTTTTTTTTTTTGTTTGTTTTTTTTGGTCCAAGCTGTTTTTACATTCACTAAAAGTGAATGGGTGCTGTCAAACTACTAAAAGCGCACACAAACAAAAACATCAGTAGTCCATACAACTGAATTTTTTCCCCCCCAAATATAGAGTAAACTGCAGTTCACTTCTCACACATATATATATATATACACACATACATCACCTATGAGTAGTTAAAATGTTTTGGCTCATCACGGTGTAAGTTAATTTTATTAAGGTGAAATTGGCAGGAATAAAGACCCGAGTGACTTCGACAAGGGCCACATTTTTGTGGTCTGACAACTGTGTCAGAGCATCAAACTAAATGGTGGTCGAGGAGGGACAAACCACAACTTGGTGACAGCATTTAGGGCATTGAAGTCTCATCATTTGTAGAAAATCTATGTGGTGACAGTTTTAATGATGGCCCTGTGTAGGTACAGATTGGTCAGAGTGTCCATGATGACCCCTGTCCACAGCCCAAAGCCCATAGAATGCGGACACAAGCAACAGAACTGTACCATGAAGCAGTGTTTCCTTTTACATTGTTTATTTGGGGATGTAATGGCACCACAATACAATGTGGGAAGATGACAAGCTGGTTAAGGGACTGTGATGCTCTGGGCCATGTGCTACCGAAACCTCATTGCAGACCAGGTACACCCATCATGGGAATGGTATTTCCTGATGGCAGTGGCCTCTTTCAGCAGGATATTGAACCCTGATACACTGCGCACACAGTTCAGGAATGGTGTAAAGAAACATAATGAAGAGTTCAGGGTCAACTCCTTTCTCTCTTCATGGATGAGAGCAGGTTCACACATACAACAAACGTGAAAGCATAATGTTCTCCATGGCATCTCCAGGCTCTGCCTTGCAACATCGTCCAGCATGACCGTTTTGGAACTAACAGTTTTATAAATGCATCTCATTTGGTACCTAAGAGCAGTAAGGTACCGCTGGCTAGCATGTGAAGATCTGTGTGAACCTCATATATATATATATTCCTCCCCAGACCATCACTGACCCACCAACAAAACAGTCAAGCTTGATTATATTATAGGCAGAATAACATTACCCCATGGCAGTTACTGGTACCGGTACTGCTGCTGGGTTGTTGCCCTTATATAGCCCTGTCCAGCTCTTCTTGTGTAACGGCCCTTCTCCTGATATCGCCTCCATGCTCTTGACACTGTACTGGAAGACACAACAGACCTCCTTGCAACAACACGTATGGATGTGCCGTCCTGGAGGAGCTGGACTACCTATGCAAGCTGATTGGGTTGCAGATTCTGCCTCATGCTACTCAAGTAGTGAGAAGGATCCTAACAAAAAGCAAAACTAGGGACAAATCGGTCAGGAATGATCAGAAGAGAGCAATTGTTTGTGGTCACTACCCCAAAAAGGGAATTATTTTGCAGGTGGTCTTGCTGTTGCCTCTCCAGTGCACTTGTTGTCACTTTCATTTGCACCAAAGCAGGTGAAACGGATTCACAATTACTATATATATAATAATTTGAACTAAATGCTTTAATAATTGTTAAAAATGCTTTTGTAATATTTATATAAATATACGAATCATTTTATTATTATTATAATTTATTAATAATTACTATTATTATTATTATTATATTCGCTAAAAGCTAGACAATTTTGTGTTTAAAATCTTTTATGTAGTGCCCTTTAATCTGGCAAGTAGAAAAATGCTGTCATTTAATGTTCAAAATTATCTCATTTTGTGTTAAATGAAAGAAGCTAAACGGGGGACATGCATGAGGGACATTTTGGGTGAACACCTGATTTTAGTCAGCATGGAATTCTTTTCTTTGTGATCCAGAGCAGGTATAAGAAGATTGAAGCCAGATCCCTGCAATCTTTAACAGACTGTCAGAGAAATGTGACTTCTCTCTTGGGAACTGTACACAATCAAAGGTACAGAGCACAAAACACAGCATTAGCATTCAGCAACTTCTTTTTTTGTCCATAAACCATGTAAATCTAGTATAAACATCACCAATTCAGCTGACTAAACACTAACACTGCTCTCTTTTAATCCACATGGTTATAGCTGAGATTCATAAAACAAACCATGCTGTTCTGCATGTAGGTTGGTGCATCTGGAGCAGTTCCAGAACACAGTGGTGCAGCAGTTGACATGTTTGGAGCAGGACTGTCTGTCTCTCAAAACCATAGAGAAAGAGACTGTGGTCTGTCTCAGCTTCTCAATAAAATGGGCACATTTTCATATTAAATAGATTACCTGCAAAAGCAAATTGAAATGTTTATATTTTCATCTGAACAAAGCAAATTTAATAGAACAAATCAGTGCTGTTCTGTCATATGCACTTGGTCATGTTTCAGAATTTCTGGCAGTCGGAGTCTGACACAGTTCGGGCATTCTGTGATAGACAGCAGAAGAGGTAGTCCAAGCCTGTTTTAAGTTTGCTTGAAGCACACATGCTGTTTATGTCTGTATATTTGGAGAACTGATTTTATTTCTCCCATAGTCCCCAACACTAAGCCAAATTTTAATATTGTAATTCACCCTATAGAGCTTTCGAAGTAATTAATTAATTTTATTTATTTAAAGGAGACATATTGTGCCCCTTTTTACAATATGTAATAAGTCTCTGGTGTCCCCAGAATGTGTCTGAAGTTTCAGCTCAAAATACCCCACAGATAATTTATTATATCATTTTGAAAATGCCTATTTTGAGTGGAAGCAGAAACAGGCTGTTTTTCGGGCCTGTTTCTTTAAATGCAAATGAGCTGCTGCTCCCCACCCCTTTTCTAGAATAGAGCTGTGCCTTTACAGCTCCGACCTGCAAAAACATCCGTTTTGGTTCTGACAATCAAGTTTATCGCGCTGAAATCATGCGTTTTAAAGCATACGAGTTTAAATTACTGATATATGGTTTTCTGAGAGCACACATCAGAAGCACACGGACAGAAAGCTGCTGTCACAGCATGTGAGTACTAAAAGTTCTCATTCACAAGTTTACGTTAAAAACACAAGTTACAAAACAGTCGGTTATGTCTGTGGAGGTAAACTGCTGGGAAATAAATAAATCAAAATGATGGCCCCTGGGTGGAAACTTACAGATTAAGGGGCGGTAATATTATAATGAGATCCCTTTGCCACATCCCCAAGGGAGCTCGTTTAGCACTTAAAACCTGGAAAAGTCCGATTTTCATGATGTCACCTTTTAAAGCTTTTAATAGGTTTTAAATATACAACTCTTTTCGTCAAACCACTCAAATATTTAGATGGCATAAGGCCCCAATAATCTTTAGAGTTCAGGACTTTATTTAAAACATTCAGACAAGCTTTTCTCAAGCCTAACGTGTGTGTGCAATAAGATATTTGACCTAACTGTATATCATAATGTGTACACATCTCATTGTATGTACTGTATTTTATCTGTTGTGTCTGTTGCATATTTAGCAGAAATCCATGTGACCAAGGCAAGTTCTTGTACGAAAATAAAAAAAAAAGCTTCTGCTTTCCCATAACAGGTTGGATTCTCTCCTCATCCCGCATGTGAGTGCTGAATCGCCATTTAGTTTATCAGCGAGAAGAGAGGCCAAAATTACTGCGGTGAGCAGTTTGTTCATTACAGCTTTCTTTAACCAGCATTGGATGTAGACTTTAGACCTAGAATTCTGGACTTTTTCCAGGTCAAGAATATCTGATATTTAAATGTTAGCGTGTAAACGGATAATAAATACTACTCAGACTCGAAGTTATTAAAATTGTCATCTTCTCCAGCCTGCCTCTCCTCAAGATACCACTACTGTTGATCCCTCATAGGACTTCACACTATGGTGTTTTTTTTTTTTTTTTTCTCCATATGCGAAGAGATATGAAGATCTCTTCATATTTTTTTTTTCGGACTGAAAAGTTTACTCCTAATTAATGCAATTTTTGTTGGTGTAAAATATCACATGATCAAATTTATAATTTCATATTGCAAGTGCTTTATTTAGATTATAATAAAGACAATCATTAATGTTTTCTGTGGTCATTAAAAAAAAAAAAAGATTTTATAGGTTTGCACCAAACACTCCCATGAAATTAAAACAGAAGATTTGTAGTGTTTTGAGTCATGTATTATACATGCAGATGTTCCTATTAAAATTAAGCAGATGTACACAGTGATCTTCTAGCAAAACAGACCAAGAATACTGATGACTCAACAACCAGCATATCCAATAAAATGCTTTATAGAATAAGTTGGTCCGTTTGCTGATAGCACCTGCCAAGACTTGCAATAGGATGTAACAAATCCTGGTTCAAGGCTGTGCCATTTATAAAAAGATTACTGGCTGTTTAAACAAATGGGCAAACCCTTTGCTATTCCCTCTGGTTGCAATAGGAAATATATCAGGGGTGGGCAATTCTGGCCCTTGATATACACTTTCCTGCAAAGTTTAGCTCCAACCCTCATCAACAACAACAATAAAAATGCATACGTCAAACATTTTCATGGGATCTTTAACAGTTAAAAATTTATTTTATACATCATTTTTCATGGGACTTGACGTCTATACCTAACAATTCATATCTGATGGCTGATAATGAAGACTTGGGAAAGGTGTATTATTAGTGCTATGATATAAGATCCTACATATCTTTACATTCAATTACACACTGAATGGTTATATCAAATTAAGACTGGTAGCCTAAGGCATCTTTTGTTAAACAAATGATTATAGTGATTTGGGGGATATTACTGAATGTTTTCTTGTCATTAGAGATAAATTGCCAAAGATGTGTAATAAAGTAGATACTGTACTCCATAACAGAGGTGTTTATTTTGAATAAGAGTTTGAAAAATGTTTTTCCACACAAAATTATTGTACAGCATTTACATTGGCTTGAGAGGAACATATGCAAAACAAACATACAAAACGGTTAAAAAGTTATATTCTAATTTATAAAATTGCATTTTGATTATCAGATGATTATGGCAACTATTGTGCTAGTATTCAGCATAAGTGAATTGAGAAGAGCATTCCATTTTGCTCCATATTGTGGCATCACTGCAGCTTCTGTTTGAAGTTAGCTCCGTTGAGAGAAGATGAAAGGCCATTAGAGATCTTTTTAAGATCTCCAACCTTAGCAATTCTGTCACCCTCCAGCTTCCTCTTTCTGTATGTCTGCAAAGAAAAGCCATTTATTGTGTAATAATTTATAAGACTGGAAGCATGACAGCACAAACACACTGAACTAAAGCCGGGCTCACACTACAGGAGATTTAGGCCGATGTATCCCTGATTTTACCCTCCCGAGAATCGGAGAAAAAATCTTTTCGAGGATCTCGATCGGTTCCGATGTTTGGCAAGGATTATCTTGTAATGCGAGGCGTTTGCAGATCGAATTTTGCACCTCCCGATCTGCTCTCACACAAATAGGGGCTGCCCCGATTAATATCAAACATGTTTGATATTTAGGATTTTAAATCGGGATGATGGCTATGATTACGTCAGTACTTTCACAATAGCAAATACTCGACTGCAAAACAAGCTGCTGTACGGGTCCGTTGGATAGAGGAGATGAAGAAACTGATTGTGGAAGTTTTGCAATAAGGCAACTGTCTGTACAATGTATCAAAAAAGTACCACAACCGCAAGGACAAAGAGTGTAAAAGCTGCTAACACTAGCTAACATATGTAAACATTGCTGAAACGTCAATGACGATCTGCTTCGTGAGATCATGTGAGGCACTCCCTCGGGCATGAAAATCTTTATAAAATCGTAGTGTGTAATGTGCCTTGATTTTCAGATATTGTAGTGTGTGCGTGTTTAAGATTTGAGGGAACTAAATCTGCGAAGATTCTCCTTATGTGTGTGCTGCAACCATATTTAATAATCGGTTAGGATTTTAAAACTCCTGTAGTCTGAGCCCGGCTTAAGCATGATCCAACCATCAATATAGGCAGCATTTTAGTCAGAGTGATTTAAAAGTACTGAACTAACCAGTGTCAAACTTCATAGGCACCCTAAGGTCATGGCCCAATTTTCAATTTAATATGAAGCAGTATTGCCAAGTCACCTTTACCATCAAATGAATCAGAGGCCCACTAAAGAATTGGGGGTCAAAATTCCTTTTGTCAGGCTTGGTCTGATAATAATTTTGACTTTAATATGATAGAACAGGGGTGGGCACTATCCTGCAGTGTTTAGCTCTAACCCTAATCACATACACCTGCCTGTTACTTTCAAGTAATCCTGAATAGCCTACTTTAGTTGAATTTTTAATGTTGGATTATGCCTGTTTCACACAGCAGTGGCTCCAAAGCTACATATTGTTTTTTACAAAGACAACTATAAATGTGTTTTCAGAAGCTGGTCATTTATAAACTTGAAAGTTTTAAAGCCTTGAAAGTTTGTTAACACGGGGATTCGCATGTAAATAGTAAAAAAAACAAACACAACCAAGGAAATAGCTCTGATCGTGTGTTTCAGGCATACTTCCATGTAGAATGTACTGTTTATAATATTTTTTTTATAATACACTGTACATTAACCCAAAAAGTGAAAATGGGTAAATCTATAAATATTTTCATTCTTCATTTTCTTTCCTGCAATACTCCAATTCTTGTTAAAACACACTAGACATGCTAATGATTTCACACACAAAGTGCTAAAAATGCACATTTATTTTGTCCATCAAAAGTGTGATGTCACATTAATTGAGCATGAGCAGCGCACCAAAAAAAAGACTCGCGCCGAAACCATCGCTTCAAGCTCACACGTTTCTCCTGCTCCCGGTGTGAATGTACTCATTTGTTAACATGCTCACTGGAAAAAAAATATGCGCCGCTTACGCTTGCGGTGTGAAACCGGCTTACACTGCACACGTCTGCAGGGCATTACTATGGAACGATATTCCGGACAATTTTGAAATAGAATAGCAAATTGTATTTTAAATTGCGTTTTCAATATGTGGACGCATAAATTGTGACATAATCCAAATGCAATTGCAAATCCTGCATTACCGTTTGCGCTCAGTAAAAGAATAGGTGATCAAATGTTTCAGCAAGAACCACATGGACCCACTTAAAAATTAAACCTTTTCTGTATAAAATCACTAACAGGGTAAATCCTAAACATAATTATGTAATGTGTCACCTTGACCTTTGGAGCAAATGTAAGATAAAAGGTAAAAGCTTTATCTATTACTGAGGGTTCAACATCTCTCAGAAAATAGCACTGATAATCTCCTGTGATAATAGCTACGTTTAAATTCTTTATAAATAAGTTTCAGTTAAAGCATTACTAACTGGACAACGCAGCCTGTTCATTGTCATAATAAAATACAGTCAGTCAAACATTGAAAACCATGCTATTTTAGTTCCCTTCAAATACTTTAAATTTAACGGTAGAACAGAACTCAGAACAAAACAAGAATAAAAAAATATAAGAAGCTACTAACAAGCCAAAACAAATGAATTTAAAATGTTGTACTTCGCGTTCCAGTATCCACGTAAAACAAAATGTGCTTGACGTAATATCACAGGGGTATGGTGGTCACGCTGAACGGCACGGACTACATGGCTTTTTCTCGACAAAAATTGTTTCCAAACTGTTTTTTTGCGACATTTGAAGTATCGATATATAATTTATGCGCTAAAGTTAAACTGAAAAAGATAATGTCGACACATAGTGATTTATGTGACGTCTGCGTGACGTATACGTCACGTCTACGCCTCGTCTGTGTCTTAAAATGAATGGATTAAATAGCAAAATAAAAATAAAAATTAAGACGTCAGTGAGACGAGTGCATGTTGCAACGTCATATTAAAGATCCCGTCCGAACGCCATAGT